ATGTTATATGCTATTTATTTTATTATATTAGTTGCTTTCCATTTACACTCAAGTGATCTGAGTCACTCAGTTATATGAGTATTTTACACTCAGGTAAGATATGTCATTTTGTATTTACCTGCTTATTTTGATGACAAAGCTATTGCATAATAATATAGGTTTATAGCCTCATTTTTAATGTGAGTCTATTAGATTCATCAAAGCACATGGTCTCGATTGTCGATAAATACTCAGTTGAATCTCACTTGTCAGCATGCAAAAAGAACCGAGCATTCAACCGAGTTATGACGTCACAAGTGAGAATTATTGAGTAAATGGAGTTGATGTAAATGGAAAGCAACTATTATTATATGTGATATACTCATTTATATACTTAAAAAGTTGACTCAAATAAAATTATAAACAATATAATAAAATTATAGACAATATAAAAATAAAATTATAGACAATAATTTATTACAGTATTAATTTTTTATTTAGAACCACTTATTTTGCTTAAATCATGTTTTACATGCATAAGTTACGACGAAGAAGCAATTAAACAAACTTTGTAGTTCCTATATAACTTTATCCAGATTTCAGAAAAAAATGTGCTTCTTAGCATTACGTAATTTTTTAAATTACGTGATTTTTAAAATCACGTACCGATTTGGAACAATCCGTTACGTGATTAATTATGTCATTAATTACATAATTTTGTTACGTAATTTCGTGATGTAATTTCATGACGTGATTTCGTGACGTGATTTTTTTCAGTAGGGACAGCTCTCCGTTCTGAACCATCTTTCAGAACACCAGAAATGGAGGAACCTGTGTTTGCATGCATTCTTCGTGCGTTCTACGGAAAATCAGTCCGGAATAAGTGGTTTATAAAGAGGTGTACGAAACGAATAAGATGTACATGCGAGGTGTCACGGCGATAGAACCCGAATGATTGCCGAAATTCGCTCCCATGATATGCCATCTTAGTGAACCATTGGTTGATTCACCGCCAAGGTATTTTTATCACAATTGTTGCTTTATAATGTTTTTCCTACTTATTTATAAAGATATTAATCTTCATTATGATCGAATAATATTCTCATTTATATATATAATCAAGGAACCGGAAAGATCATTTGCTGCGTGTCTGGTACATTCGGAAAGGCCGAATGGGCACTACCATCGATGGATACGGTGGACGGTGTCAAGTGGTTCGCGTATTTCTTCTTGGAGGGTCAAGTGTACCCTAAGCTGAAACGATTTGTCCCATCGCTGCTGACGACACCTGGGAGCATCACCAAGTCATGGGCCAGGTAAATCGTTATTTTATCTCCTTTCGATTTCACGTTGATTCATCGAATAGATTACATCAATTCAATACGATTTTTTCAGGTTGATACCACACACTCAAGCAATAGTACAAACGTTGCAGTTGCAGGGAGTCGTGTCCAAAGACAAATTGCTAGAAATCTGGGGTTCGGATAAAAAATGTGAAATTTTAATTTATAAAATAATATTTAGATATTATCATAGACTTCTATACAATACTAGACCGCTGACAGGCATCTCGGCCGTGATGCTTGCCGCCATGTTGATTTTAGTCAAGATATACTATACTACAGATTCTATACAAGTGGTTTTACACAAGATTTCTATACAATAGTCTGGCATATACAGAATGTCCAAAAGAAAGGGTTTAATACTACAGGAGTATTTATACTATAGGAGGTTCGATTTCGGCATCCAAGTACGCTACACGTCGAAGGCATAACTTACAAACTTATATTATATATACTGCAATAACGAATGCAGATAAACGCACATCATGAGCAACTGAACACCCGATAGTGACTTAATTCAATATAGCCGCACCCTTCACTACCACTTGCATCTCGCACTCGCATCAGCTTTTCGGCAGTGCGTCCATAGATGTTAGTGGTCTAGTATAAAAGTCTGTGGATATTATACATTTATAATATTATATATATATATGATTTCCCAGTAAGCAAGGAACATTAAATTAACGTTTAGAAATATTGACTTTATGTGTATTTTTTAAACGTTTTTTAATTATATTATACACATATTTGAAAAATATTATTTCGTAATATGATTTTTCTGAATGTTGTTAAAATATTTTAAAAACGTTACAGAAAATATTTTTCAAATGTTACTCTGACATTTATTTGAGATCAATGCAACAGTTCAAAGTTCCTTGTAATTTGGACTTGGAAATAACGTTGGTAGTATATTAATTTTCTGTTGTTAGAATGTTATTGTTTTATATTGTACGCAACGCTCATCGCGACAGCCATGATGCGTACATTTACGTATGTACATACAATGCGTGAGTGCGTATACACGCGTGTGGATCGAGCAGTGCGGAGTGCTCTTTATTTAGAGTATATTTATATATAAGTAAGTAACTATTATATTCTAAAAGTTGTATATTAATAATAAGAACTCAATTAACCATACGTGCTATGAATAGTAGTTGATATGATTATTTATAACCTATAATTTAGGTTAACTACAAATAACGTTCTTTGGGTATCGGTAGAAGCTATATAGTGGAATTATTTGCTATTTTCTTGCAATTTACTGCCGATTATTTTTAGCTGTTTGAACGCGTCGAGATCATGAGCAGACGCACGCTTGTCGCGACAGTCCATCGGAAGCAGTAATAGTTCTGGAGACTGTAGTCGCATTATCTTACATACGTATGATGCGTGAGTGTGTCATATATACGTACGTTTGTGCTTGTGCTGTCGAGCGCTTTTAATTGTATACAACATTTTTATATGAGTAAGTAATTATTATATTCTAAAACTTGCATATTAATGATAAGAACTTAATTACCTATATGTGCTGTAAATAGGTAGCTGGTGATTCAAGATCTATTTTTTGACCTATATAAGAGAGAGATTTGCAGAAGAAAAGAAATATACCAAAGTATTAATAAGGATCAAACATATTCTTGATGTATGTACTCGGGCCGCGAGGCTGAGCAATATTCTAAGGAAAGTATTATACAATTGTATCGTTTTATATTGTGCGCAACGCTCATCGCGACAGCCATGATGTACATGATTATCTTACATACGATGCGTGAGTACGTATACACGTGTGCAGAGTGCTCTTTATTTACAGCATATTTATATATAAGTAATAATTTATATTCTAAAAGTTGTATATTAATGATAAGAATTCAATTAACCATACGTGCTATAATTATTTATTGTGCTATGAATAGTAGCTGGTGATGTAGGATTCATTTTCCAATTTACAAGACAGATTTACAAAAGAGAGGAAATATCAATTAATTTTTTTACGTTCTATAATAGATTTGTCCTTGGACATTAAAAATATCATCAAGGTTCGTCAATGCTATTATTTCAATGGTACCAAACAGTGTAACTTTCTATAAAATAACCTCAAAATTTGACGAAATATGTAAATGATAACGTATAAAGCTAGTACACTATGCATGAAGACGATTTGTTAAAGTATTGTACGGCTTTAATACATCATTGTTTGCATGTACCACTGTAAGAGTAATTTAGTATAAAATTAGTATAAAGTTGATAGATGTAACAAACGATCAGTACAAACAAGACCAAAACTGACTTTTTATTTATTTCTATATTTTTTCACATACATATATGTGCTATCACACTCTAAAGTATATAAATATATTATTGTAAGCGTATTTTATATGTACAGGGCAATGAATATGTCTTAACATATGGGATCAATTGTTATATCAAATTCAAAAAACCACCATTTGAAAAATTTGACCCTGGCTAAGATAAACATCAGTGAACAATATATTATAAGGAAAACTCTGTACAAGATACTAGAAATGCTAAAAGATGATCAAGAAGCTTTTACACAAGTCGTAAGTAAAGCTGCTTATTATAATTAAATTATATATATATTAAATTACAACCTTTTTCTTATCTAAACTATATTGAATTCTTCTTGTTTTAGAGGCTATTAGACAACAATTCCTTGTAATACAGAGAAAGACTTGGAACACTCTATAATGGAATGGCTTAGATTTGCAAACATCCGTAAACAAAGAAAAAAATCTTAAAAGGTAAAAAAGTAACATAATGTATTTATGTCTGTTAAGTTAGCACCCCCCATAAAAAACCGGAATAACACATATGCAGAAATTAAGTGCTCTTCATGCGTTAATTATATGTGCTCTATTCACGATTTTTGTGCTCGAGCGGTTTCGTGGGAAATTGCAATTGAAACTGGGGGTGCTGGCTTAACGTAAGCTAGCACCCCCACTCATTAAAATTACATATAAAATAAAAAACTCATTATGCTAGAATTATGTGCTTTTTATGTGCTTTCAAATGCCTCAAACAAAATTAGTCTATCTGTAATAGTTTAAAAAATATACGCAAAAAAAGATCTATATACTATACTGATATAAGAGTAAAGTATCAATTAAAATACAGAAAGCGTAATAATTCTTGTCTTAAAATGTTTCTTGATTAATGTGTTCTCGAAATATGCACAATGAAATTTTCGTGCTTATCCCCTGTGACCGACTTGAACGTGAACACCCCATACGTACAAAAGTAAAGTACCAGTTAAAATACAGGTAGCAAATTGGTTTTGGTCTTAAAATATTCCTCAATTTATGTGCTCCCGAAATATGCACAATAATTTTAAAAGCATAAAAATCACATTAATTTTTTTTGTCAATGTAATTTTTTGATACAAATTTTTTTAATAAACATAATTATATATGTAATATCTAAAT